AACTCAGGGAGGCAGTGAAGGACAGGAAGGCCTGGCGCGATATGGCTCATGGGGTCACGAAGAGTCGGACACGACTTAACGACTGAACAACAACAACATTATTAACCTATATTAACTTCCAGGAAACGTTCCACACACAACCTGTTATGCAAAAAAAGGCAGTTGAAAAACGTGGCATATTGGAAGGGTAAGATATTGTTTTACTTTCTTTTGATTTTAATTCTAGCCATCATGACAACTGGTTACCAATAGTTTTCCATCCATTATTTAATTTCCTGGTCTTCACCTAGCCAGTTGTACCTTTAAAAATCCACTTTATAACTCCATAATGGGTTCCACAGAACACAGTCCACATTGTATGATTGTATTATTGTCCAACTTACAGATACACACACACACGCACACATACATACAGTTAAATTGATTTAAGAGTACAGTACACACAACATACCGTACAATCTTTTCTACGGTATGTTGTGGGTTCAAATGCTTCCATCAGGTTTAGTAACGTTCTATGTTTGTCCCCCACCATCTTCTCGCTTGAGGAAGGAATTTCATAGACGTTTCTGATACTACATCTTTATAGAAGCTTTTTCACAGACCAACATTTATTTTACCATCCTTGAGGATTTCAGAACTGCAGTCTCTCACCAACTGATCCATGGTTATTCACTCACTGTCAAAACTGAATGCTTTATTCCTAAAGTCCTGACAATCTGCTACTTTTTATTTATGTATTTTTTTACTGAATATTCTCCATATTTATGTTAAATATTTATTTTAAAATGCATGCATGTTGCTCTGCATAACATAATTTAGTGTGTCTGTGTGTAAACCTGTGTGTGTAAGAATGTCTTTATATAATGTGTCTTTATATAATGTATTTACCATGATAATACATTAAAATATTAATTTAAATATTTAAATTTATTAATTTAACATTCCTTGGTGTAGAGGCGGACATTGATGAGCCCAAGAACGGACCCCAACTGAATATTGAATTATATTTTTATCTCTGTATCTTACAATGTGACAAATAAATAAAAATATCATAGCAAGTGGCAGCAAGTAGCACATCTTGGCTATCTTGAAAAAGTTAACCATGGTTGGAACTGGTTAGTACTTGCATGGATAACCACCAGAAATCCCAGGACTGTAGTGTAGACAGGGAAGTTTTAAAAAAACAAAAACTTTATGGAAGAAGGCAAACTGCATTGTTCCTAAGGAAACTATACGGATGTGTGTCTTTTAGTCACTAAAAGTCAAGTTCAATTTGAGGGAGACTTTATTTCTATCTCCAGTAGAATTGCATGCGCTTAAATATATACCTTATAGACAGAAGCAAATAATTACAGCTTAGAAAGCAAAGACAGAAAGCCAGAGACCTAAAAAGCTACAACTGCTGAGGCGTTGCCATCACGTAGCTGCCAAAATATATATCCACTGTCAGAGAAACAGAAGACCACTTTACCTTCAAGTATGACTTAAAGAGGATAGATATTAAAAACATGCAGAATATTCTGGCTATAAATTAGTGGGTGTCTTTGGGTAATTCATTTACCCATAGTTAACCTAACTCCATTAATCTAATCTAATCATCATCATCATCCAGTTTTCCGGGTTTATATAACACAGTAGGCCAAAATCTGCAATTCGTTAGGTTTACAAAAGTGGCCAATATGCTATGTACCAAAATCAAATACCTATTGCATTTGAAAGCAAAGCTTCCATAGATAATTTTTAGCAGTTTGCCACTTTTAGAGGATTCATATTTTATTTCAGATATAAAGATCTCTGCGTTTTAAGGAGCGCAGGTGATTATGTAAACTAACCAGAAACAAGCGAAATAGAACCTGAATACTTAGAATTATTATTACCTGAGAAATGTGTAAAGACAGATTATTTTCACAGTCACATTTACCGATAGTATTATCCACATCAAAGAATGAATTCCCTTCTTCAATGAGCAAAAGGGACTATTCTAAAATGCCAGAGCTCTCTGGTCCCCGTGTGACATTTCTTTCTTTCTACACCAGCTCCTGTGTATAACAGATACTCTTCCTATTCTCCATAGCCGTTCATTAATTCATTCATCTCCGGGGGTGTCTGCAAGGTATGGTTAAAAAAAAGTCCAGATGACCGCCACAGCGGTGCAGCTGAAGCTCTGCCCATTTTCTATGTGCCTCTATGTGAATCGGCAGGATGGCCATCACTACAAGACCTTTTCTTCATGAGTACTTCCAATCCCATCTCATTCACCAAATAAATATATCAAAAAGTTGGTCATCAGAAAATTGAACGGCCAACATAGACAAATATTACGCAGACTCATAACTGTTCAAGAAGTGAAAAAGGCAATAAAACAAATTAAATCAGGAAAAGCACCAGGTCCAGATGTGCTGATAGCTCAATATTACAAAGAACTAGAGGATCTGGTAGAGCCGTTGACAACACAATGAATGAAACTGAAGAAACAAGGGCAATACCATCAACGTGGGAAGAGGCATACATAACCCTGATTATAAAGAAGCAACCACAGTCATACATTCCCTGCTGAATGTAGATCAATACATTTTTACAACCGTATTAGATGATCAGTTGAAGAAATGTGTCCCAGATGTAATACGCATTGATCAAACAGGCTACATTCCAAACAACGTTGCCTTTCGTTTGTCCCTTGCCTTCTTGCCAATTCCTCCATATTATGCTGCAAAAATATCCGTTAAGGAGGAAAGAATAGCCATCTAGTGCCTTCAGACTGCGAGCACCAACAGCCAACAAGGTGCAAGCATCCAAATCAGTACAGGAAAACTGATGAGCAAAAGGCAGGTTGGCTCAAGGCGAGTGGATATTTCAGCTCCATACGCTTCTAGTAATTTAAGACTTTCATCAGTTCCTCCCGTTTCTCAGCAGCCTGGAGGAGGCTGACTTAATAATGGAAACAGTCTTCAACAGCAGCTATCCGCTGAAGAAAAAGCAGTGCCTCCAAACGATTTCCCAGTTGGCCTTTAAGTATTCCTGGGAGCCTTGGGCAATGCTCAGCCTGCAGTGAAAACTCAGAAACAGATTCTGATTCATTTCTGCACCTCTCCCAAGAGCGTTGCGATTGGAAGTAAAACGGAAGCTAGAGCTGTCAGCCACAAAATCATACTTGATTATTTCTTCATTCTCTCATGTCCTCCTACTATGGGCTTGGGAAAATATATCCTTTTTTTCAGACACAGTGAATACATCACACTAAGCCACAAATCATGGTTTATAAGCTTATCTTTGGCCCAGGCTTTGGAATTTATCCAGTGTGTATCGCTCATAGATATCAGCGGCTAGAACTCTTCTCCCCCGTGTGCTAGCATTTCATAAGCAAGGCATTTATGATATGTTAAAATGAAACAATTCCAGTAAAGCTTTAATTCATGCAGATTGCATCTTCATGCAGTCTTCCTTCCAGAGAATGTAACTCCATACAGAGTTCATTCTCCCTGACGATCAAGACGGAAAATAATATCTCAGGGATGTTTTCTTACACTGTATAAAAACAACGGTGTCATCATTTTGTACCACCAGATTATTGATGAAGCTCAATCTGTTTCTCTTTCGCCTTTGCTCACCCTTCCTTATACTCACCTGCAAATGAAAGGAGAATCACGACCAAAAGGATAAGACTACAAATGCATGGAATTAATATTAGCAGCGAGAGCCTGAAGTACTTTGCAGAGGCCAGTTTCTGAGAACAGCCATCCTCCATTTTATCTTCATCTGTTCCAGGAACCTGAAACACAGACGGAGATTTATAGTTCTATATGTACCCTATAACAGAAAACTGCCACTGAATCAAAACATTTTTTTCTAGCAGAAATGGCTGAGCCCGTAGGGTGAAAGGCTGGGGCTCTCAAACACTCTCTCCCAGAAGCCACTGAATCTTTATGCCCTGGTTCCGCCTTGGCATAGCAGCTTGGTAGTTCCCATTGCCACTACCAATCCCCCAAGAGGTGCCTCACTTGGCATCCATCTCCTACCTCCAGTGGAGGAGGGTCAGCCCTACAAGATAGACCAGACTAAGAAACCAACGCCATATAGAACAAGATTACTCGCTATTACTAAAATAGCTACAATAACAGAATCTTACAAGTCGGAGTGTGCTTCCCCTTCCCTCCCTTTATCTTCATGTGAACTAGGGAGCGGCTTCTCCGAAATGTTTTCTCAAGTTATTGTCTTGGCCCAGGCACAAGCCCCTCTTATCTGACCATTGCCTTGTTCGTAGCTCTTCCTCCTGTCCTTCAAGGCCGTTTCCTCTGCCCTCTACAAGGAGAGAGATCAGGTTCTAAAAACCTGCGCTGCTTTTCTGGCCCTCGAAAGGGAACAGTGGGCTAAAAATGAAAGAACTGCTATAATACAACCTCCTTGAGAGGCGTGCAACTAGAGGTCCCATCCCTTCCTTGGAAGATCAATCTCGCATGAGATAAAATCAACTCTTACTTTAAAAAATGGAAAAGACTGGATAGATGGAACCTGCTTTACTCTAAAAGAAATACACAGAAATACATGCAATGTTCCAAGCAAGCCACAAGATGTTGCTGACAGATGTCAGAAGAAAGACTCCTTCTTCTGAAATTATATTTCAGCTCACAAAAAGTGAATAAAGAGAAAAATAACGGCAGAATAAAATGGCTGAGCTTACACAGAATTCCCTGCTTGTACAGAAATATGAGAACAAGAAGCAATAAAGATTAAGTAGCACCGTGCAGAGAGATAAATCAAGAGTCTGGCAAGAATTTTACCCATCTCTACCGAGACGACGTTCCAAAGCAGAATTTCCTCTGCTTGGTCTTCTCTAGATTCTTAGAAAGTCCAAACTTTAACCAGAGGCTGTTTTGGGGTGGTGATTAAAACTCCTTTGTTCCCAAAGCTTCTTCCTTCATTCCTTCCTAAGTTCTGCTCAATTTTTAAAGGCTTCAGATTTTGAATAGGTAAATCTGTCTTTTGTGTAATGATAGAGGGCACCCTAGAAATGCATATAGAGATTGAGACTCTGGCTGGCACAAACAATCCATTCAATGTTTTTTCCAAATATAGTAGATAAATCTGGCATTTACTAAGATTTAGAAGCATTTAATACACAAAACATACTCCCTGTTTAAAAAAAAACTGTTTCCCCCAGGGCATATAGTACCATGTCTATAAGATAATTCAAATATTATAATTGTTAATCCCATATTGCAAGTTTCACTGAATGCAACTTGGAAGTCAACCTTTCCAAGCAATTATTCAGATTCTTGGTAAGGTTTGCTTTAGCAATATATTAAATATACTACATATACCTTAAAAGAGGTTAACTTAGCACTACACTAGTAAATATATATATATATAAAAAAGACATTTTCTGGCTGCTAAATCAATACATTGTCTAAAACCTATGGAACTTCTCTTAGCCAGACAAAATATTTAACTATTTCGTAGGAGTCAGCAAAAAGGATTCCAGCCGTGAACTAATAAATAAAGTAGGTCTCTTTCACCCTCACTGTTTCTTCTTGATTACCTTCCCCTCCTTACTACTATCTGTTGGTCCAGGAGACATCTGTCAACATGGGAACTTCTTCCCATCATCTCTCTATCCTGTCCTCACCCACGAAGAATTAAGCATGCACAATTTGATTAACATTTAACCCTTCCATATAGGAGAGTCATCTAATTTTAAATACATCTGTTTTAAATCTGTATTCAAGCTTGCTTAGTTATTCATTTATTTTAAAAATTGGATAAGCTGCCTCCTCACAGTTTGTGACTCTGGGCAGTGTACAACAATAAAATCAAGATCCAAAAAAGAAAAACAAAAATAAGTACCATACAAACCCAGCAGAAGAAAACAAATAAAGAAAAAAAAAACCCAACAATATATAAGCCACATGTAACCAAGGCTGGTGATAATATCACATTTTCACATCAAAAACAGACTCAGTTATTATTCTGGCTTAATACACAAGAGAAGAGCCCATATTTTATAGTTCTATGGGAGGCCAAAAGGGTTGTTGGCATCTATTAAATCATCCTGAAATAATTTGACAAGAACATGCTTTATAAAATGATAATAGAAAAAACATTTCAACCAGTTCATTAATTCTGTCCAGAACTCAGCTCAGCTAATATTTAAAGAGGCAGAAAGCATAAACAATTAAACCAAAAAGAAGATTGTAAGTGGGCTCATACATTATGCTAAGCTATGGTTCGTTAAACCTTGGATTATTCAGTAATCCACAAATTAGTTAAGTTTATAACCACATTAAGATTGATGTATGTCTATACAGTCTATGTACACATAGTTGCAGCGGTCACAGCGTCCCCGTGGCTGCATGATCGCAATTCGGGCATTTGGCAATTGGCTCACAGTTATGACATCGCAGCGTCCCGTGGTCACATGATTGCCATTTGCAACCTTCACTGCTGGCTTCTGACAAGCAAAGTCAATGGGGAAGCCAACAGGAGGTCACAAATGGTGATCACGTGATCACAGGACATCGCGACTGCATGGAATTTGCCCAACAACAGCAACTGGGACTGTTGACTCTGTTGATGGAGTTGCCAGTCCCAATTACCGTTGTTAAGCAAGGACTACCTGTAGTGATATGTATGATGTGTGGAATGAAGAACTAGAATATCCAATTCTGGAAAATCAATAGGTCCAAATTTTAAGAAATATAAAATATACCTATTATGACTTAAGAAAGAAGTTAATTCATCAGAACATTTTGCTTTGCTTTGATTGGACTCATTAAAGCATGTTTTAAAAGTCTGGTAATCAGATTTCTTGGGTTGGCATTCTAAGAAACCTGAATGCTCTGTGACTCACATGATTCGACTGTGTCCACCTTCCTTTTGGTTTCAAGTTGTAATATATGTTGCTTTAGCCTCGGAGCTAAAAATATAGTAATAAAAGATGCAAATGTGATGCTGAATTATAGTCCCAAAAATTTATGAAGATTTGTCACTCAGTGGAGCCTGGGGGTCAGCAAAAAGACTTATTTTATGTTAATTGAAAGAAATCTATACTCCTAAATTATACAATAGATTCAAGGTATGTGTAATCAATTTTTGAAATATCTTTATATTCTAAAAGTGAGAAAATAGCACAATGTGATCTGCTTGGTATAGATGTAAATAACATGATTTATATTAATACCATATGAATCCTTTTTTCATTAGATTTCCCCCTTTAATTTATTGTAATTAATGCATGTAGGGTTTTTTACTGTATTTTAACCAATTTTGGGGTGAGGTTGATACGCCCAATTCTATAAGTATACAGAGAAATAAAGGAAGTAGCACACAGAGAAACAAATTAACAACTTGGTGCAGAACCCTTGTTAAACATTTTTACCTAATCCTACAGAAGTAGAAGACTCTTCAAACATCTCATCAGTTTCCTGGAGATTCTGGCCATTTATCGGGGGAGATACTAGTGCACCCCACTGGTTTCCCAGCCCTCATCCAGCAGCTCCTGCCTTGCCCTAAAAAGACTCTGAACTGTCCTATCTCTAGTAAAGAGCGCGCTGGGGGCATCTGTGTCTATAGGGCAAAAAGAGCATCTTTCCTACGAGAAGATATAGATTCTAACTCTAAGACAGGGAGATGTGTATTTTGTGAATGAGCTTGAGCTGTGAATGTCAGAATTTGCAGCCTCTTATTCACAACATCTCTGAAAATGATTCTAGTTACTCCTGGAACAACAGGAGGCACCCCTGGCTGGCTTGACATCCACGTGAAGAAACAATCCACCACAACACAAACATTTGGACATTGACTTGTCCCCTTGTGATCATCTACATTAAGTCCAGAATTTGAGAAACAAGGTCCAGCATAAACTGGACCTTGCAACTCACAGCTTGATTGCACAAATCCTTTCACTCTATCCCTTCAGCTTGCATCTCTGCAACTTCAGATGTCCCTGCAGCGGCCAAGGCTGGAATTAGAGTTATGTTTGGATTCCCCAAATTGTGCCTTCTTAATATGGCTGATTGGCAGTCCTGGATGATCTATTTCCTTGTTTCCTAATCTGCACGAGAAACCTTGCAAGAGGATGCCAAATGGCAGAACCGAGAACTAAATGCATCCATGTTAATTTTATCCCGCTGGCAGACGTGGAAAAAGCACGTGCTGCTCAAAACCCATGTTCTGAAGAGGCTTGAAATATTTTGTCCGCACTTTCTTCCCTTGGGTTTTTATCAGTGTCCTGTGTCAGCAAAGGCTTCAAAATCCAGTGTATTTCTTCTTCCCCTGCAAAATGAAGGAGCATGTCTTGCGTCTTTTTGGAACTGTCTTCTCCCATCACCACAAGAAGTTTTCCAGTCTTTTCGCTCAGTATTCCCAACGTGCACCAACAGCAGAAAAACAAGTTGTGAACTGAGAATTGAGCAGCAGGAACTTAAGTCATGATGAAAACTATACACAGCAGTCAGAACACTATTACTAAACTTCTTGTGAGATATTGCAGGCCTGTCTCCTCTTCAAAATGTATGTGTGTGAGAGAAAGAGAGAGAGGAGGAGGAAGGAAAGGCCTAAATTTGAAATTCAGGAGTGCAATCCACACAAAGAATTGTGCGCTCATTGTGGCCAAGGTAGCGTTTTGGTTAAACTAAAATATATTTATTAAATCTCTCACAGAACTCTCTGCAAGTTGACTGCAATTCTGTTACATTCTCACCACTCTACCACTGTTTTCCAAGTCCAAGTCAGCAAGGGAGAAGCTTAAACCTGGCTTGGATCCTATGAGCATAG